ACACACACACACACACACACACACACACACTCCAGAGGGAACATGAGCAGCACTGCAGTGAAATTGCACCAGCCAAGCCCTGATGTAACCAGATCGTTTCCTCCGTGTGAGCTGAAATCTAGTTTGCTTTGCATCGATACACGACATATGAACTCATAAGCGTGTTTCATAATTTTACCACTGGAACAGTGGAGCGTTGCCTCGGCGGGAAAATGGAGTATGATTTCCAGAAGTATCGTATCCGAGATGCACTGAATTCAGCCTCTTTCTATGTAAAGTGTTTGGCATTCAGGTTGGTTATTGCTCCAGCCTCCCATCTTCTCCCCTTCTCTCCCCCGTCTTCCTTTCCTTTCACCTCAACGTGCTGAAGAAGCCATCAATCGCCTGGTCCTTCTTAACACCTGTTTCCTCTCACTCAGACACCTGGTCAGGAGACCGATGGTGAGGTCATCAATACATCATTTCCATTTTATGTTCCTTTTAATGTAGTTCGCCAGGCTTCCACTGTGTTTTTTTAATTTTGCTCTCTCTGGCCTCTATTTCTCTGTCCTCGTTTTTTATCCTTCAGCCGGTTTTATCAGTCCAACGTCCACACCCTCTCTGGCTCCAGGGACCTATTCTGAGTCTTCTGTAATGTGCATATTCCTCAACTCTCCTTCACTGGGTGCAATTTAATTCATCCATTTTCTCTCCTGCAGTAGATTTAGAGGAAATCAGTTATAAGGAAATGTAGTATATATTTCCTGTGGTGCTGTACACTATATCCTCCTTCACTGGATGTATTGCTGTTGAAGATCAGAAAAGTCGTAACTGTAATGGTAACCACGTAATGTCTGTTGCTGTTATTCTCTGTGGGAATCTCACAATGAACCTCAAGTGAATACCTAATTACAGGTACAGCAATTTGGGACACTACAATAGTCCATTTTGTTGTAAATTGGTGTAAATTCAACTGTATGTATATTATTGGTCAAAGTTAAACAAGTGTTGTATTTCTCTCTGATTCTACTCGTCACTGTGTTGCCTGTTTATTGATGTCATTACTCGTATTTCATCGACTGTGTCTCGCAGTCGGCCGGTATCAGCTTCTGGTTCCCAGTAATTCCAGTACATGTCTAGTACATCCCAGTGTGTATGTGTAATCTCTAGTGAAGGATTTGTTTCAGCAGAGCAGTGCTCCTGCATGCACGCCCACCGGTGCGTAAACATTTAAACACCCTGCGGCATAATTGTCGACTCCAAATCCTCTGCAGGTGATGTTGAGGCACACACTGGAGGGCAGCTTCATTTCCATTTCAGAAAGCTCCATACTGGGACGCGTGTGCACATGAAAGCACATGTTGTGGCTATGGATGCCAGTGTGTGTGTGTGTGTGTGTGTGTGTAGGTTTTCCCAGGTGTCTGTGTAAATCCATATTGTAAATAAAGCCTCTCTGTTACGTAGGTGTTCGGATCCAACTCTGTGCATTATCCATAAGGTCATCACTCAAGCAGCAGGAGCGACAGCGAGAGTGACTCAGTAAAAACTTCTGAAAGTATGCATGTTGTTTGTGCGATGATTTATTCATGAATGGCTGTGTATTCTATTATGAGTAGGCTGCTCGTGTGTCACTGGTGTTGACAGAAGAATCACTCGGGGAATAAGTACACAACTTAAAAGGCTGAAGTAATACCCGACCAAAGGTTATCTGTTGGAAACAAGTCAGTGTTTGAATGTTGTTGTGTAGGAGTTCTCTCTCCCCGTGTGTCATCTCATTCATTCTTCTCTCCTGCCTCCAGACTTTGATCCCAGCCTCGGGATGATGCCTGGAATAACCCCGCTGAATCCCATGATGCCCGGCCTCGGTATGGTGCCCCCACCCCTCTTCCAGGATCTGCCAGTTATCAAGGAGATCATCCACTGCAAGAGCTGCACCCTGTTCCCCCCCAACCCCAGTAAGTCGTGATGTCATGCCAATCATGCACCTTCTGCACCCACCGACAGTCTCCTTTACCAGCATCAGAATCACACCGCGATGAAACGCATGTCATTATTAGAGCCTTGGAGACATAGAAAATATACTCAACTTGTTTCATGAGCCCACGGCCCTCCTGTGGTGGGAATTTTGTATTCAAGCTTTCATTCTCGCAACAATCGCCTCCAGCAGTCACAGATAGACATGTTTTAATTCCTCTCTGTTTGCTTCTCTGTCTGCTCATATGTCACTGCATCCACAATGTTTACTCAGTCAGGTTGAGGTCCCTCTAACTCTGTCAGTCTTCTCTGTACAGCATCATTCCCTTATACCATAAAATCAATGCTGACATGTTTTATATGTTTATATTTTCATTTTTCCAGCCAAATGTGGAATTGTAGTTGTTTTGACTTGATTTGAGAATGTAATTTATGTTACATTATATTATCAGGGCTGCAGCTAAGGATTATTTTCATTATCGATTAACCTGCCAATACTATAGAAAGTGTACAGATCTTCTCAGAAGATGTGCTTAGTAAGTGACCAGTGAGTGTGGTTAGATGTCAGCATGTGTATTAGTTCAGAGCAGACTTGAGATTATGCATTTGTTTCATATGTCAGACCCCAAGAATTTTATAAACAATTTACTATTCCAATCTGGGAAACCTCAATCAACAATGCGTGTTGTTGCTCTTCATTTCTTCTCCCCTCTTCCTGCCAAACGATTAACCTCTTCATCGTGAGGTGCATTTACGTCCGCACAGCAAACTCTCAGGGCAAGTCACTTTGTGTAATCCGTCTCGATGTGTGCTGCACAAGCTGTTGTTTATATTAATCTCACCTCCACATTGCAAGTATTCAGAGTCAGAAAACAAGTAGTGGGGGGTGCTTTTGATTGATCCCACCTTTTGCTTTTTCAGATTTCCTGCTAGAAAAGTTTCTGCCTGGGGACTTTATTCAAACAAGTCTTACAAGTCATCTTCAAGGTGAACTAAAACAAAAGCTCCTCGACGCAGTAGCATTTGGGAGTTTACCATCTTTTCACAAAACAAAACACACTCTTGCATTCTCCTTTTTTTTTTTGTTCACCACACATATAATACAGTTTTTTCAGATGTGCTTGCATGTATGTGGTGTGCATTATGGCTCATTGTAAACTGTCACTGTCACAACATGGTGCAGGAGGATAAGCTGATTAAAAGTTTAACTTCACAGAGGAGCATATTTCTAGCTTGTCGTCAATGTGAGGAAACGTACAAGGTAAAAAATATCATAAGATCCTCCGTGTGGAGTTGTAATATTATTGAATAATAAGTGTTGCTGTGAACCGGAGATGTGTTCGGGATGCAGATGGTTCCTCAGTCTGTGAGGAAAGGAGGGAAGCGAGCGTTGATGCATGCTGCTTTCAGGCTTTTTAAGCAAATATCGCAGGCAAAGCGCTGGTGTCTTGGCAACACGGTTGCATATGGTGTCCATCACAAGTAGTCATTACCCTCTAGCTGCACGCGCTCAACCTGACACCACATGCAGCATCCCCTCTCACTGACCTGTAGCTGAGCAGCTACAACCCTGCGGCCCTCCCTCAGCTCTCCTGCTCTCCCCCTCGTCCACTCCCTCCTCAGTGTGCATCTCTTTACCGTGAGTGTGCCTCCTCATCTTTGATGCATCCTTCTCCCTTCTCCTTTTCCATTCAGCCTTAACCCCTCGTTCACCTTCTCCACTGCCGCTTCCTCCCTCTCACCTGTCCAGTGGTATAGTGGCTTTTTTTTTTATCTACATTGTTTGAAAAGACTGACAAGACTTGTGGACTCACTTGACAATCTAATTGGACATCAAACTCTTATTGTCTGTCTCTCTTTCTGAATGCAGTCTGAGGAGAAATATGTATCTTTTAAGGAAAAGATTGAGCTTTGAGGATAGTGGCAGTGTGTTGCATATGCACACATATATTTAGCTTAAATGAAGAAAGATGCCAACTACAGTAGTTTATCATATAAAAAAACGCCTGAAAAAGTCTCTGTGTGGTTCAACGTGCTGGCCGTGATGTTCGTGTCTGTGTGTGATAAATCTTTGCTGCCCACTCTTTGTTCATGTGTGACGTGAATGGACTAAACATGGAGTGTTTGTAAATGTAGTTTATCTTCTGAATAACAGTCCTCGGAGAGTTGCAGCCTCCTCCCCGTGGCGGCGCCCCTCGGACTGTAAAAGGGTGTTTAGCCGGTCGAGGTGATGGATGGTGATGACCTGTGTTAGTGGAGCTTCACCAGTGGGTGGCCACACAGACGGCAGGCCTGAGGGACGGCGCTGGACTGAGAGTCAGACTGTGTGTTTGCTTTACAGCAGCCTCCGTATTTATCCAAAGTAACATGACAGAATAAAAGCACATCAACCAGCGTATTAGTCAGCCAGTGATTCATAATGGACCACAATGCAGTCTGCTAGTTTTCAAAACATATATTTACTAAATGAGCATAAAGCTAGAAAGTCTTGTATATTATATTTCCAACAGATTCAATTCAGGCAGTTTGTGTTTCTTGCATTATGTTATTTCAACTATTATAATCCTCAATATATGCAAATAAGTTGATACAAATATTACAATTGTTCTATAATATAATGCGGTTCTCAAACTTTCTGCATCCTCTTCATAACCTGTCAGTATGGGATCTCTCCCTTCTACATCCAACCTCTCAATCCTCTCACTCCTCAGGTCCTCTGTCTGGATTCTAAAATTGTCAACCTTAAAGCATCTCACAATTACTCAAAGGGACACGTGTAGCGAGTTAGAATTAGGACCAAACAAATACTTTTTAGAAGTGTCTGGCAGCAGCACCAACGTGTTCTGATTCCCACAGCATCTCCCTCTGTCCTCTCCCGGTCTTTCTCTGCAGTTTGATGCAAATAACAAGCAGGTGAACCTGATAAAATCCCTCGGTCTGTTCACAAAGGCTCCTAATATATTGTATGATATCATGTAATTCTTGTAATTCAATCAAGAAATCATGAATAGTGAATTTGAATCTTCTGCATTTGCATAAAATTCGCTTAACGGTGTCCCTATCGTCTTCATCAAACACTCGTGGACCAAAAAGGGTCAGTTCATTTGGAACTCTTTGTCTGCACCACCTTGTACTCTTTCCCGTCGATCTCAACTCAACACGAGTCTAATTCTGGAAGTCAAGGACTGGAACTGCAGTCAGTGTTTTGCTTTCCCTGTCACATTTTAAAGGAAAGCGGAGGCAGAGGGAGGGCTACGCAGGTGAAGGGAGGGAGGGAGGGAGGGGGGAGGCAGAGCAAGTGAAGAGAGAGGGACAGTGCTGGCTGAAAGTTTAGTTTCAGCTCTTCAGAGTACTGCGTGAGAGTAAAAGGAGCTCTGACAGCAGACGGATTGTGAGCAGATAAATCGTTTTAACCAGAAGAGAATCCTGCATTCACTGCTCGGCATGCCATAAATATTCTTTTTTTTTTGCAAATAATGTATCTCACCTGGCTGGGTGATTTATTGTCGTACCATTAGGATGCATCATAAATGTGTGGCAGCAATACAGCTCCGGCTCAATACAGTTGTCTTCTCAGATTGCTGAGCTCTCGACTTCGTCATGTGGACCCCGCTGAGAAACGTCCTTTCAGTTCGCATTGTGATCTCATTGTTTGTTGTTATAGCCAAGTCTTGTACAGTTGAGGGTTAAGTTTTTAAGAATTGACTGGATATGCTTTTCCTCTCGGGGCTTTATTGAGAGAGGGCAGAGGGTAGGAAGAGTTTTTATATCAGTTTCTTTGGCGTACGAGAATCTAAAAAAAAGGGAGCCAGAGGCCAGATCGGAAAATCTGAATGTAGGCCATAAGAACTGTCGCACCGGATGAACTTCTTTACCCACCGTTTGTTTTACAGAACAGACTTTTCTGTTGAATATCAGTGATTCTGCGGCGAGTTTACCGCCCCACTTAGACTGTTCTTCTGTCTGACAGTGAGAGGAAGCCGATGAAACGTCTGTATTACGGCACCGGGTCTTCAAATCCTTTTGATCGCGCGCATAAGAGACTGCGCGATATCCGGATTAATCCACTTGCTGCTTATCAGCGAGGCCCCTCATGAAACACTCCAGGTGTCCGACCAAGTTCAACTCGGGTTCTCTTCAGAGTGTCGATATCTACAGCGGCGGGAGCTTCAGTAACGCTGATTGTGAGGCCTTTCTAGCAGACATCCAGAAATCCAGCATCCTCAGCGTTCCACTGATTAGCCGGTTCACTCCTCCATAGACCCCCGCTAATCACATTCATCATGGATGAGAAAGCTGATCTATCGGAGATTAGATCAGTCAACACTCATCTGTGTTGAATAAGTGATTTCTGCAATGCCGGGGACCTTTCACATGAGAGGATTTGCAATCACGTTGTGGCCAAAAGGATTTAATTTCCATGCATGGAATGGTTTTGATATTAACATTCATCTAACAAAAAAAAGACATCCGAGCATATTGCTCAAAGTTATCATTATTCATGCATTAGGCTTTATCGGGGGGTTTTTAGGTCATAAGTGCTATGTTTAAAATATGACTTAATTGAATTTTGCAGCACCGTGCTCCAAAATGTGGCCTGTGTTTTTCAGAGTCGTTAATCGTATTATACACAGATTTCTTCTTCTTCTTCTTCTGTAAATGTTGTGTGACCTGGCTCCTGTTCTTCTCAGCCCGAATATGGAGTTAGACCCCAAGACCCTCGTGGGATTCATTTTTAATTCATGACCTCTGGATATCGTGTATTTGCTTTTGTTTTCCTTCGTCGTTAAGTGGGGATTGGATCAGTAGAGTCTCCTCTTTGCAGTTATTGAAGTCCCACTTTCCCCTCTTCAGAATCTCTCAGTAAATATTTTGATAGATCTTTCAGTTCCATCATATTTCCGTCTATATTTTTAACTTCCATGCATGTTTAATATATTTATGCACCTGGTAGGCAGTCTGTACGATACAAACACCCAGGCTTTTTGTTATTTGTTGGAATCGTTGCTATTCAAATGTTGGCATTAAAAGTAAGAATAAATATATTTTTGTTTCGGAGCTACTCTTCTCTCTGTTCAGAGAGCACAACATTGTTGTTATTTAGATTTTCTTTTGTTGACTGTACATACGAGCATACATATTTATTTTTGAGTAAAAACAAAAGACAGGAAATCAGACCTCCTCAGCTCTCCCAAAATGGTTTCCAGCAGCGATCAGAACAGTATGTTCTCGCAATTGGACACATTGTTTTTATATTCTCAAAGAGCATAATTCACACGCAAAATCGAGTGCCAGTGTTCTGCGACAACTGAATTATTCCTTGAGTTGTTTGTGTTTCAGCTGTATTATCTCCACATAAATGCAAGTGCACACACATTCATCATTCAGATTATTGTTTTCCAGCCATGTCTTAATATTTCAACCTAGTGATGGCTGATAAATAACTGTTGTTTACTCTCCTTTGCTCCACCACTTTTGAACAGACCTTCCGCCTCCGGCCATGAGAGAGCGCCCTCCGGGGTGTAAGACGGTGTTCGTCGGCGGTCTGCCCGAGAACGCCACAGAGCAGCTCATCGTGGAGATCTTCGGGCAGTGTGGCGAAATCACCGCCATACGCAAAAGCAAGAAAAACTTCTGCCATATCAGATTTGCCGAAGAGTTCACTGTGGACAAGGCTCTCTATCTGTCGGGTAAGCTGTCGTAACTCTACAACCTTATTCTGTAAGAGCTCATTGGCACAACCAAGAATACAAACTCCCACAGACCATGTTAAGCGAGTTACAGCTGGAGCCCTTTGTCAGTTGTCAGAAGAACAATTGCGTCAAAAAGAAGTTGAAGATACAAGCCTTTAAGGTGCATTTTTGTAAGAAAACTAAAGCTTACACTGTTATTATCTGCAGCCTTAATTAATTCACTTATGGGTCAATTGTAGATGAATTGAAACAACAAACTATTTACAATTTATTACAGCTGTGATTCATGCCATCCTCCCGATAGCAGCGGTGGCCGAGGCTCATGTGTGTTGTATTATTTAGAACTGTCCGCCATCTCAAACCAACACTAAAAAATATGATTTTTTTTTTCCGAAACGGGTAAAAATAATTACAGCTGTTGGCCAGGATCATTAAATTATTCAAGATAGTCTGGAAAAAAACACATATAACCAGCAGTTTCACCCTCTTTGCAACTGTATTGTGTTTACTATTGGAAAGAACAGTTGGGAAGCAGTGGTTGGGATTAATAATGGTCGACTACAGCCGACTAGAAACAGGAGATATAAATGAGCATTAACTCAAAAAAAGCACATCTAATAACCGTGTGACACCAGCTTATGGTTTCTTATCTTATCTTCATTTTCACAGCTGCTTCTATGGCCCAGACGTCCTAAATCTCTCTGTGCTGGCCGTATATTCCTACTTTCAAAAACCCATTTAACCTAGAAGCCAGTTCAGTAGTATTCCCAGCATTATTAAGTCACAATGTCTGTGTGTGTTTGTGTGGGAATCATTTTGAATGACAGGGTCCTGGTGATTTAGCCTGCCTCTATTCTTACGGTGAGACGAGGGAGCTGAGGTCCATATATTAACCAGATGACAGAGCTGTGTAGTTTTCCCATAAATAATACCCCACACACACACATGCATACACTGTGCAAACACAATACCCAGCAATGATACAAACTCCAGCACACTGAGAATCTCCTCCATATGAAATATTGAAGTCGTGGTAGATTGGGAGCCTGAAGCAGAAGAGAGTGGGCTGAAGTAGAAAACCCCCGAACTCACACTCATTTCTTTTTCTGTTTGTAGGGGCATATCCCCCCCCCCCCCCCCCCCCACCCACCCACCCCCTCTCCTGTGATGAGTGTGTTTGGCCTCACAGTGAATCACACTGGGCATCATTACCGCATCCTACTAGACCCAAACACTCAAACTCAACACACTCTCTGATTTTAACCAATTAAATCACAAAATGGGCATGATTTCCCTTCTGATCCGCAACCAGCCATTAGTGAGAATTGAGTAAGGAGAAGAAAGTGTGGGGATAAGAGGGAAGAAGGGAGTATTGAAGGGATATTGTGGTCTTTCAGCGCCTCGAGAGAAGTAATTGGCCTGCCTAAGTCTCTCTTGTGTATTGACCAAAGGATGCAGTCCTTCTGTACTACACAAAACCCTGAATATTCAGTATATCTTGTCAAAGGAAGGGATCCAACTTGCAAAATAGATATGACGAGGATAAAGAGGGAGGTGGTAGGCAGGTAGACCCCGACAGAGAGCTCAGTGGTTTCTCTGTTATCTGTTAAGTAGTCTGAATACAGTTGGTGGAAAGTGATGGGAAGTGACTCTATAAAGACTCAAGCTCATGTCTGTACCTGTTTGCTCTCCTGCTCATTTATTCCTATGTTGCTATTCAGCTAACTGAAAATCATCGCCTCCAGGCATGTTTTTCATTTGCACAAATATTTTTAGTGCCCATATTTTAACACTTCTCTTTTTCTCAAAGCAGTCTAGAGATCTAAGATTTACATAGTACCATATATTTTAATATAAGATATTTTATAGAATATGAAAAAAGTGTGACTGCCAGGTGCGAATGGGAAGTGTGAAGTTGACAGTTGTCAAAACTTAGAGGCATTCAGGCGTCGCGGTGGTCTCAAGATGGAAACCACGTAACCGTGACTTCCTCAGTCTGAATGCGACGACGGGCCTTTGTCACATGTCACCCTCTTTTCTCTCTCCCTGTTCCTTGTTTCTCCCCACTGTCAAATATCTAATAATGCGACTGAGAGGCTACAGCCATGCTACAGGCAGCGGTGCTTTAAACTGAATGCTAACGTCAGCATGCTAACACGTTCACAAGGAAAATGCTAACATGTGGATGCTGACCGAGTTAAATGTTTATTATCTTCACCATTTTAGTTTTGGGTGTTAGTTTGCTAGCATTTACTAGTTAGCGCTAAACACAAAGTGCAGCATGCATGAAGTATCGGATAAATTAAATGGTGGCGCTGCATGAAAGTCAGGGGATCATCAAAAGGATTACCATTCAGCCTGAGGGGGAGGTGACTGTCTGCACCACATTTCATGAAAATCCATGCAATAGTTGTTAAGGTATGTAACTCAAAGCTCACCCTTATGCTTGTGCTTGAAAAGTCAGGGGATCACCGAAGTCGTTAGGATTCATCCTCTGGGGACATTGAATGTCCGCACAAAATGTCATGCCACACATGCCAAAAAATAAAATCAAAATGTAGTAAAGAAAAGTTATCTAAAAGAAACAAGGGGCATTTATGCACCTTTTAAAATGCACAGTGTGTAAATGACATGAAACTGTCTCAGCAAACGGATTACTTTATTTTAATTGGTGAGTTCCCCGTTGTCCCATCTGGTTCTCCCATCATTTTTACTTTTTACTCTTTTGCCTCCCATAGGTTACCGTATCCGTTTGGGCTCCAGCACAGACAAAAAAGACTCCGGCCGTCTCCACGTGGACTTCGCCCAGGCCAGAGACGACCTCTATGAGTGGGAGTGTCGCCAGCGCATGTTTGCCAGAGAGGAGAGGCACCGGCGCAAGATAGAGGAGGATCGCCTCCGGCCGCCCTCCCCTCCTCCCATCGTGCACTACTCGGAGCACGAGTCCAGCCAGCTGGGAGACAAGATCAAAGGTTGGCAAAATATAAAACATGTGCAGTAAAATATGCGCATGATATGATGGCACAAACATAACAAACACAGCTCTGTAACGAAGTAAAACCTCAACACACACAGTACTTTCTTTAATCAACCCAAGGGCATTTACATATACAGCACTAATTGTCACATCGTTAAAGACCAAACGAATGTAAATAAGGATCTAATCATGGCACCATCATTATTTATGCAAAACACCAACTGCTAGGTAGGGAATAAGGTAAAAGAGTAGTTCTGTATGTGTGTATGTTGTCGTCCGTTTGTGCACTTGCAAGCCAAGGCATTACAGGAAGGGTCCTAAACTGACAAAGCAGTTCTCTCATGTTCTAACAAATTCCAGGGAATTTGTTTTCAAAAGATGCTTCACAAAGGCTGTTAAGCACGGTATATCAGTTAACTGTTCCCTCAGCACATGCTCCTCTCCTCTCCTCTCCTGCTCATCCTCTCCATTTTCTCCTCTCTGCTCTTGTTTCCCCCCTCTTCTCAGCTTTCCGTCCAGTTTCTGGTTGAGTAAACTTGTTTCACTAATAATAAATGGCACTTCCAGGTCTCAGTTCCAGTTGCCCGATAACAGACTTTGTGACTTTGCCTCTCCATCATCTGCGTGTGTCTTTTCCAGCTCTCCCTCTTCTGGACCTGGTGTAAAGAACTCTTACATTGTTGTTTCAGCCAACGATTTGTTTCTGAACTCTTTGGGCTGCTGTTGTTAAAGCACACATCCCGGCTATTTGCCACAGATTTAGGTTTTCTCTTTCCTGAATCTTCCACCCATAAGAGAAGAAGTGGTTTAGCCCTTTTCAGTGCCAGTTATGTTCCTGTACTCCAAATCCAATCTGTCCTTTCCATGACATCAATCTCACAGCAGGACTTTTTATTTTACCAAGACCACCTCTTTTTACTCCCTTCAGGTGTCATTGAGGTCTGTGAAGTTCCTTGTTACCGAGCGTATGCCAGTCTGTCATACGTACAGTTCTCTTTTTCCTTTCATCCAACAGCACAGATGTCTGTTTGTTCCCCCGGCCTTGTTCGCTGCGGTTTGCTGTGGTTTTATTTTATTTATTTTCAGTGTCACCTCGCTCACATTAACCCTGACTTTACATTGTCTACTTTTTTACTCGACAAAATAAAAACTTCTCGCTACTTTCTGTATTTAAATAATCTTAATTTGCCTTTATGCTCTTATATATATGTGTTTTCTACCAGAAATCAGGGCGGCCCTGTCTCACATGGATTATGAGTATACTGACTTTTACAAGACTATGTAATTCTTTTTTTTTTCAGCCAGCCAGCTGTTGCTTTCACCACATTTAGCGTCCTGGGACTGGACAGGAATGAATTATTATTGCTCCCCTGCATAGAGCCTGACTCTTCCTTTCTCTGTGTCCTCACCTCTTGGCCAGATGACAATGCGTTTCCGGAAGCGGTGCATGTGCTCCTGACCTGGCTGGAACGAGGCGAAGTCAACCGCAGGAACGCCAACAACTTCTACTCCATGATCCAGTCCTCCAACGGCCACATCCGCCGGCTGACGGGCGAGAAGAGTCAGCATGAGAAGGAAGTGGAAGAGGCCAAAGACAAGTTCAAGACCGCTCTGGCCGGCATAGTTGGCCAATGTGAGTCCTGTGTTTTCAATCTCACACACACACACACACACACACACACACACACACACTTGGCTGTATAATACAGTATAAACTGTACTGTACTTGTACTGTAAGTGTACAAGAGTGTTTCACTTTTGCACAAAGGCCAAAGCAAGAGAGAGTAACTCAGTTTACTACTAAAGTACATATCGTACTCCTTGTTGTGCAGTATAAGTACAAGAGGAGGATAAGAAAGAGTCCATGCTTGGCCAAGTTTCTGGTTCAGTGTAAGTTTCCCCATCATAGGAACAGACACACAGCATAAACACAATGTAAGACTTGTTGTGCCTGAAGGTCTTAACGCTGCGAATAAGTAAGTATGATATTATTATACACATTGTGGATATGAAGGTTATTGAGTTTTAAAGGTAAGTTTTGTTACTTTCCTAAACGTGCTGTTAAATCACTCAAAACTCGGCATTCAGTGTCCTGCTCGTTTATTTCTTCTGAGGTACAAATAAAAACCACACACTGGTACCTGTGACTTCAGAGGAATATTATTCATGTTTCCTTCAGATTAATGTAGTAAGTAGTCCAACACAGCTCTTCCATGAATACAGTGGAGGCCAAAGAATCACGGTGACGGCATATCTCGGCTCATTTCAGTTGATGAAAGGCCGAAGGCAAAGCGTAGCGCTCCTACCCACCTTTGACAGCTTTGGCTGTGCAGCTGCTGGTTTACAGCACCGCCTGCGGCATTTAGTCTCTGCGTACATCCCACCACATGCATGTTAAATAGGATGTAAACAACCTTCAACACAAAGTGTAGTGCAGAGTGGTCAGCTTTTGTATATGAGAAAAATAATACATGTAGAAGACATAGAAGGTGTGTGTGTTTGTATAAACCACCGCCATCATTTCAGCCCATACAGACACTTCCTAACTTAATTCAGGACCTTGGCTTCTTCCTGCTGCATTGCTGATCATTATAATGATATCACAGAGACTGGGAGCTTTTACAAGTTTCACTGTGTCCATACCAAATATATTCAGCCTGCTACTCTTTTAGTTGACATCCACATAGGTCTGTTGTAGATGGAGTTCATAACAGGTCAGTTCACCCAAGTCACAAAAGAGCCATATAGGCATTTAATCCCTATGGTCTCTCGGCATGCAGATAGTTTTCTTTTCATGTGCCCCGGTTTTGAGATATTGGCTTCTCAATCTTCTGCTGCTTCACAAATACAATGGAGCGGTCCAGAGAATTTGATTTGTGGTGCTCAAAGCATCGGAAAAAAAATCCCCGTGGCTCTAAAGCATCTTTCCTCTCCGGAAACAAAGTCGCCCTTTTTCTAAAGATAATCCTCAGACCTCACTGTAAAGAGTTGATATTTTAACTGCCTTGTTGCAAATAAGCTCACAAGTTTGAAAATCTGTCTGTACCCTTTCCTCTTTTCTGTGCCTTCACCATCGATTTGCTCCATCAAATTACAGAGTACAGGGAAGATGCTATTGATCCCTGTACTGTGTTCTCTCTCTCTCTCTCTCTCTCTCTCTCTCTCTCTCTCTCTCTCTCT